AGCCTACAAAAGAACCTCAGATTTGTGAATAAAAAAAAATAAAATTAAAAAAATAATTAAAAAAGATTACATACATACACATATCAATGTATGTGCATAGTATACCAAAACCACTGTCAGGATATAGACAGAGACTGGATGTAAAGACACACCAAATCAAAACTGCCAGTAAGCCTTAGTGACAGGAAGATAGTACAACATCTAGTGATTAGGAAGAGAAGCAGCACTGACTGACTGGCACAGGAGAAATGAGACTAAGAGCCCATTGAGTTTGAGTTCATCATAAGATATTCAGAAAGCTACTAGAGACAGATGACACTGTTTCAGTTTGAACAGAAGGAAGCAGTATCAGAAGAGGGATATCACGAATGTGAATCATGTGCCTAGAGATAAAAAAATGTGTTTGAATGAGGCTATCTGCAGATAAAACTAGAGAGGGATATACTGAAAAGGAGACTTGAAATTAAATTGTGAAATAAGCTGCAGCCAGAGAGAAGTCAGATAAAGAAGACTGTCACCAAAGATAGAGAGGTAGAAACCATGTGGATGCAGGTTTAAGACTCATATTAATGGAAAATGGAGAAAACTGAGAAAAGCAGAGAAAGCCGCCAGGAATCACAGAAGACAAAAGCTAGTAATGTTGAGAAGGAAAACTAGCACAGGAAAAGAAGATGTCAATAGACATTATGCTGTTATCACATGGGTGTGGGAGAAGCTATAAACTAGTTCTGATGACATAATTACAGAAATTTTAAAATTCTAGATGCTAACATATCTCAGTAAAGACAAGCTCAACATCTTCTTTCAATTTTAGACTAATTCACCTACGCAATTTTCTTTGCAAGCTTGATTATATTATGATCCCTAGAACTTCAATTAATACATATTTTTAATAAATAAAATAATTTCAACTTACTAATATATAAGCCACCATTAATTTCAAGGCAGATTGAACCAGAGTAGCTTTTTTTGGTTGTGAAATTTGTAATAAACACCACTTATGGCAAACAACAGCAGAAGAAACAAAACAGTAAGTTAAACCTAATTTTATTTCACAGTAAATCATAAACTAAAATACATTCTTACCCTACATAATGTGTCAATTCTCATTTTAAAATTTCTCTCTAGCAATACGCAACAGTCAAATGAGAATTAAAGAAATTGGTGCTCCCACAAAGGAGAAAAAGATAGATTACACTCAAGCTGAACTAAAATAAGTAGTACTTAAACACAGGCTTTGTTTGCCTATAGTGCACAAAAATTCTGGGAGCAATTTTTGCTGTACTAACATCTATTCACTCTGGAGAATAATTTAATTTATCATGGAAGACAGAGCTGCTTTTAATTTTTTGCATGGCAGCAAGATGAGAAAACAGGCTGCAGTGAACACAAATAGATCCAATGCTACCGTAAAATTTGCCCCAAAAGAGTCTATAACTTATTAAAACCCTTCAACTAAATTAATATGATGCGTGGGAGATTTCGTTCCACAGGCTATGATTATAGACAGGTAAGTGCACATGAAGAAATTAATGTTCAGAAGGCGTCTATACACCATAGAAATAATGAGGTAGGACCAAGTCCATGCTAGGGAAATGTCTGGGTCAATGCATTTTCTGTCACAAAACCAGGCATGTTTGGTAACTACTGTAATAACAACATGACAAAAAAAGCAATTACTGCAGATAGTAGCAAAAATATTTAAGTTCTCTAACCTGAATGAATCTTCATTTCTACTTTAAAGCATAAACATTTTGGAATATTGCTGGAACTTCACCAAAATTTCTCCAGACTCATTAGCACTGCTGCCTGTGAACTTCATTGTCCATGTATCATATACGGCACCTGCAGTAAAATCTATATTTAAACATTGGCTGCTGCTTTCCATACAAGACACTTGAAACTTTCTGCATATTATGAATTTAAGCTGAAATTCTTCATGTTAGATGACTGGTTTCGTAGCTGCTTGCTTTTAATTCAGCAAATCATTTCAAACTGTTCTTGAATGCAGCTGAAACAAATATTCGGTTTGTTTATTAACCCCCACAATAATTTGTAGGAAGCCTATATCCCCAAAGTGCTTCAGAAAGAAGACAGACAAGGAGGTATTTGAGAATGTACCATGATGATGTCAAGGAATATTCTACTAGCAATCCAAAACTGATCATGCCTGAGAGCTTTTGAAAAGCTACATTTCACACAAACTCAATACAGCCTTGTTTGAATCAGGCATCTGAATTCTTCAAGTGTTCTATCTGTCATGATGCATAATTCAATCCAGAGCTGCAACAGCCTGAATTTCCTTTCTCTCACTCCTTCAGAATGCTTTCAGATTTCATTGTGGTACAAAGAAAAGAAACTGAGAGCAAAGAAAATTTCTCTTAGTTGCATTGTACTATTCCAGTGGGCACCAAAACTGCACAGAGAAGAGAAATTAGTCTAAATAGAAGCAAAGCAATATGAGGAGGTGGATGTAAAAATTAAATCAAAGAGGAGTGACAGGAAAAAAGATTCAGACTAGAACAAGCACAAGCTTACAAAACTGCAGAAGGGACCAAATGGATGGTTGAACATATCAGTAGCCACCAGCACACACTTCAGTCAAATACTGGAACAAACCCACAGATTCCCAAGTTTTATAATTCCTCTTTTTATAACAGATCTGAAACAAGAACACCTTATCACACTGAAGTCATATGAAGCTCTGCTGCATTCCTCTGTCCTGGTACAACGTACTGGAATTAACTAAGACTCTAATGTTGGATTCAGCTTAATGGTTTGATAAATTCCTCATTTCCTCCTTGCTTCTTGACCTAATTTCACAAAATAAAGTCTTCCTCACCATAAGGACCTCTTTTCAACTTCCTGTTTGAACTTCCATCAAGTAAATACTACCTATATTAACAAGAAGATTTATACTATAAAACTGATGATAAATTATTCATGTAATTGCCTTTTAGTTTCAATGCCTTTGCCAGTCTAAGTTGCATTTTGACAAAGAACTACACACACCTTTCTTCTCTACTAGTCTTGAAGCTAACTCAATTTTTTATCTCCACCTGTTGGATTATATATGCTAGCCAGCAATGCTGGCCAATGATTTCTGGAGGGAAATACAGTCCTGTCAAACTTTTCTGCTTTCAACACTATCCATAGTGCCTCTTCTGTCTTTTTACGTTGAACAAACAGATTTATAGCTACCAGGAATTCCTTTATGTTGGGGGAAATACAAAGCTGCCAAAGGACTAAACCTGATACTTTAATTTCGAAAACTTCTCTTCTGATTCTTTTAGAACACATTGTGGAAATTCAAGGACTCGGGGATGATATGTAAAATCTCAGTGGGATTGGATTCTTCCTGTGGAAGTCAGATATATAGAAAATTAGGCTTATCATAAAAATCTAATAATCAACCTTAACTAAGGAACAGGTTCTTACCAATAGAGTACTATGGTTTTTGGAGAACATGCTTTTACATTGTTCCAGGTTATTTGCAGTATCTGCTGAAGAAATCTAATGAAGTTTAGAAGAAGGATAGCCTTAAGGAGAAGCACATTTATTGAAAATATTAATAAATTTTATTAGTAAGCAAGGCCAACAGTACGGTTGCTATCTATACAAGAGTAATTTCTGACTATTAAGTACAAATAAAACTGTCTTATTTTTCCTCTCCCTGCCATTCTAATATGGATTACACTGTCAGAAAATTCTAAACAGATTAAATTAGGAATTACTTCAGTTACATTGTAGGGCACTGCAATGAAAAACAAAAGGCAAGAGCTGAGTTGTTACAAAAGAAAGAATATCAGAAATATTAAATTTTCTGTTATTATCACGTATTTTTTTCTGAAAATACTACCATTGGTGTGTAAATATAGAGAGAAATTACAGCATCCTGGGAATTGTTTTCTCTTCAAAATTACAGGTCAGTTAAAAAAACATTATAAGCAGCCAAACATACAGAACACAACAAGAACACTGAGAAATAAAAAAAAAAAATTTTTAAGAACTACTTAAAATGTTTAGCTCACCTTTCCAACAGCAGCAGCCACTCTGTTGGTCTCCCCTGCTCTTTGCTTTCATTGCAGTGTCCAGCATTATGGCTGAAGGAATAGAGTACAGCAGAACCCCACTAATTTACCTTACTAATTCACATACCTCATAATTGCACACAGAAATTTGCCACTTTCCCAACTTCTTAGGCAAAATAAAATTGAAAATCCTGTAAAGATGGCTTCTACCACTCAAATTGCATCACATTTAATAAATATGCTACACAATATTGACTAGCACATTATTCAGCATTACCATCAAAATGTAACTAAACTAGTTTAATAAAGAAAATAGGTTTCTTTAAAACATCACCATGGCACTGACTTGCTCATTTTCAAAGTTTGAAATTAACAAAAGGACTGCCTGCCAGTGAATTAGGGAGGCTCTACTGTACTTAAAATTATAATGTCCTCATTCATAGGCTTTTACCTACAACTTTCTTCAGACTGCATCACATGGGAATACAGCAACTACACTTAACTATGTCCTGTTATATATTATAGTCTCCTATCACTGTTTTAATTATTCAGACTTTCTCTTTCAGAAGAATATATATTCAGTTTAGTGTTTGACTTTTCTCTCCTACATAGATTTTTTTTTTTTTTTAATGCAATATATAATACCAAGTGAAATTCAGGTCAGGTGTATTACTCTGATATTTAATGAAAACCTATTTGTCGCTTGATTTTCCAAATCAAAAGATAGTTTACTCAAAAATATCATTGACTATACCTCTGCCTCAAGCCAAAAGTCAGAAACCTGATTCATTCCCAACTGCCAACCTTTTAATATAATCAATAAATCACATGGCATTTATGATCTGGGATGATGTTTGTCAAGTTTAGATCAGTAACCAGTTCAATGCAACTCCCATACTCCTCCAGAAAAAAAAGACAGCATATTACCACATTCAATTGATCAAATTGACAACTGTGAAAAAATCTTACTGGTCTGACATCCCCACATGAGTTGGTAAATTGCCGTGCCAAGCCAAAATCCAGCATATAACACTTCCTACAGGTGCTAGGAAAACGTCCCATTGCGAAGTTAGACTAGGAAGAAAAACAAACACAGACAGATATATAGATACGGATATACACACACATACACGCTTCAATATGCGCACATATTAGTGCAGTAACACAATGACAGATTCTCTATCCTTCTGTATTTTCAGTTCTACTAAACTCCAATCAAATTTGAAGAAAATGTTATTAAGAAAATCAGACATCCAACTTAGCATATCTGAACAGCAGCCTACATGGTCCAAAGAGATTGTCGTCTTACTTCGTCACTTAGCATATATTAATTTTTATCAAGAGTTTTCCAATCATGTCACCCACTCAGATGCTTTGATTTGGATATTTCAAAGGGGCCAGGGGCTAAGAAGTTCATCTAAACCAATGCACTAGTATCATTTATGCAGAATATAGAATAAGGAGTGCAAACTGCCTTTTCCTTTTCATGGGAGGGGGAAAAATCAGGTTAAAAACAAACAAAAACCAATCAAACCAAACAGTAAGAGCTGGAAAGTGAGTGAGGGCTTATGGAGGTAATTTATTCTGAAAAGATTCAGTAAATTTTCTTATTTGCCTCTAAGGATTAACATTCTACGCTAGCCCTTTAAAAAAAAAATATTCTTCAATACTGCTAGTTTATGATGTTTGAGCATGTTGGCTGAATTGGTTCAAGTCTCTCCCACAAAATGCCCTTAAAATGGATTACGTGATATAAAAAAAGATAAAGCTGAAAACAAGTTCTGTGAAATGGAATTGAAACTACACATCTGAGCAAGCTGGAAGCTTAACACAATTAAGTCTAGATAAACTACTTTTCTTTTTCCATTAAATGAAACAGCAATACTGTTCTAAATAAATCTGAAATTCACAGCTGCTTCAATGTCAAAGGTTGAGGGTAAAAACCAATCAAAACTATGAATTGAAATGAGTGCGATCAACATTATTTTTAAATAGAACAGAATTTCAGCATTGCCAGTTCATCACATGAGGCAAATAACCAATGAAGGATTTCAAGATTTCAGCTCAGCACAAAGCTTGCTTTTAGTATAATCTATCTAGAAGATAACACAATAAAAGATAAAATGGACTTGTATTTTCAAGCCAGGAAAAATGCACGCTAGAAAGCAATCCTGCCTTCTTTTGCAAGTCACGACATAACTCCTGAAGGGGAAGAAAAGTTCTTTTTTATAAATCTAATATATTGCCTCACACTGCTCTTTATCCTGGCTCAACACTTACTTTTCCGGGTTTTTATCATCCCCTAACAGCATTCTCCGTTTCCATCCTCTTTGAGCCCACAGATTCCAAAATACAGCTAGCTAACAAGATGTCCCCAATCCAGCCTGCCTGCCACAAAGGAACACATTTCCCATTCAAAATTTTAATTATTTTCATCATTAAAATCTTTCGCTCCAGCTAACTCCTCCTCACCTATTTCACTTTACATTCACTGCCTCTGTGTCCTTTCTGTATTAAATGAAATCATGGGGATGGGTCAGGGAGAATAGAAGTTTTATAAAAAGTTGCAAGGAAGAAGTGATGAAAATGAAAATTCCCTAATGCACAGAAACTTATCAGAGGTTTTATGTAAACATCATTCAGCTGACAGGAAATTTAGCTATATATGCCAGATATAACCAGCCATATTTGCATCTATTAGAAAACACAAGACTTGCTTACTTTTTCTCATTTACAAATTTCAAAAGTTCAGAGTTCTCATGATATTTTTAATATACAGCAATATTAAAAAATAGCTGATGTAATTTCAGGGATAAATTCAAAGAAAAACAGGAAAAAATAGTAAGAACAAAAGTGTGATGTTATCAGGAAGGCATTGTCCTCATGACATTTTGACAACACTCATTTTATTAGAATTGTACAACAAAACAATTGAATATTTTCTCTTACAGTCTGTCTTTTCTTTCATTTTTTGTTGTAAATATAACAAATTTAAAAAATGCTATCGAAGAGCTTATAAATACACCCCACAGTTAGTACCTAGTCTCTTAGATTTATTAGGTGAAAATATTAATTGCCATTAGCCAAACTCATATCATCTCTCATGGCAAATACTCTTGATTGCATGATGCTACAAATAAGAGCTGGAAGTTTTAACTACAGAAAATTGCAAGGAGGCCTAAGTAACTAGAGACAATGATGACAAAGACCAAAGTTATTGTTGAAATCCAACAGTAATTAATAGGAAAATCTGCCCTATCTGATGAATAAACACTCAATTTTCTGTCCCTTCTCATTTTTTCATTTTAACATTTAGTATAGAACCTGTTCTAACTTATGCAGCCATCTAATGACCACACACGACTTGTCTGTTTTGATTTAATGAGTAGACTTACTGGTTTTATGTCCCTGTGCAGGAATCCCACAGAATGAATACTTTCAATAGATTCCAAAATCTGCTTCCCAAGCCGCAGAGTGGTACTAATGGTGAATGTTCCTCGAGACTGGCTCCGGCGCAGGTCTGCCAAGTTCCGACCCTGATCAAATTAAAAGGACATTTTCATTTAAAAAATACTAATACCAAGATTCACAAGTAGCATAAAGTCTTCCTACTTCTTCTTTAGTTGTTCATGGTTAATCACAGAATACTCTCATTACTTATTTTCATATTCAAGGATAACATGTCTCACCTAAATGTAAAGAGTTTATATGTCCCTCAGTATCTCCAACATTAAATTTAGAATCTATTTTTGAAAATATGAACCTTAGTACCTTTATACTCCTAAATAACATGGATGAAACTAACCTCTATTAGAAGACAAACACATACACTATTAGTGAATGTATCTGCGTCACACCTGAAAAAAGGACTCTGAAAAAATTCTCTTCCATCTCTTTAAGAAAAAGTACATAATTTAATTATACCGTATATCTTAGATGACTTAACCAAACAGATGAAAAATATGCTAGGCAGGAAATGCACCCCTGTGACATTACAGAACTATCGGTCTGTCAAAATAACAGATGACTAACAGTATGAACTAGAGCCACTTCTTTTCCCTGTATTTATATTCATCGAGATGATAAAGGGCAATAATCCCATAACTTTAAGTGCTCATCATCCATTTTATCCCTTTTCAAAGGAACAAATCTTTCATTAAAGAGAATTAAGTGTTTTCTTTTACTTGCAAAGAGTATTTTTTCATTTTCATCAAAAAAGACAACAAAATGCACAGACTAATATATTAGACTATCTTCAGGTGAAGACTTCAAAGGAATGTGAATTATCTCAGAAGACACCACAGTTCACTCTTTCAGGTCTTTCTGAGGATGCAAACCTTCTCCTGTCTGGGAGGATTACAGAAATGATATCAAAAGGATAGAGATATAAGGATATGGTGAATTTAGGTTTGCTCACTACTATGTGTTCATGATCTTTGGGGTTTTTTTAATTTGTCATCGTCTCAAATTTTACTGTTATTTTGATATATGCTTGGCTAATAAACCAAAACACACAAGCAAACCTTGAGCTCTGTTTGATAACACTAACCTGCAACTGCATGACCACATAGTTAAATCTGTCATTCCTTCCACATCCAATGAATCTACAGACATGATCTTTTCCTGAGAGAAAAAGAAGTAAATTAGCCAATAATAATGAAATTCTTTGGATTTATTCCTTTAAACACCTAACAAATTACTGGAAGAGACAGTTATATTTCTTTAGAAATCTTTAATAAACTAAGCCCCCCATCCCCACAATTCAACAGCTGTAAAACCAACGTCTGTTCTACCCCCAATCAAATAAAAGCTTCTTCCATAAAATATGCAGCCCTACTACAGCTGTCACTCTTCCATAAGAAAACATGCATGGCAACGTCCACAAATTTGAGGCATTTTGGATTGGGAAAAGGTTATTTTCTTGCAAAGCTGAGGGCTTGTTATAGACAATATCCATAGCCACCATTCCTCTTTTTGTAGAGGATGCAGCTGTCGCAATGAAAGAAAACAGTAGTAGTTACCTGAGGGTCATGTTTTGTGTAAAAAAATTGTAGAAAATTTAATTCAATAATCCAATTTATAATATCTTCTTCTAGAATATGATCTTTGGGTTTTAGCTACAAAAGACAAATTCAGCTCAGGTACACCGAAGCAGAGATAAAAGAATTGTAGTAGTTAAAAAAAAAAAACAAAAAAAAACCCAAAAAAACACCCCACACAGTTTGGTTTAAGCTAATTGTCTTTAATGCCTCCTCCTGTCCTAGAAGCAAACTGTGGAGAAGAGGTCTGTTCAAAAATAATCTCCTTACCATCCTGCAGTTGTAAGTCCCAGGTAAATAGAGAAGATTCCCCAGGTAAACAGAGGAAAAGGCAAGCCAAAGACTACAGTAGGGAAACAACACAGGAATGCAACCTCACTGTCATTTCATCATCTGTGTTCATCAACTTGGAGAGAAGCTAAGACGATCTCACTCTACACAGGCAAGTGTAGCGTTTCAGTCCCTCAGGCCTTTCTGACACCATGGAAGCTACAGCCGAGAGAAAGCTGATGGTCGCAAGCATCCACTAAAGCTGTGTAAAATTTGGGGCACCTAAGGTTTCTTTCATTAATTTCTTTACCCTTAGGATTACCACAATGTCATAAATAGAAAAAAAAAGAAGTGATAGGAGAAAAGCAAACAAAAAATTTGAAAACACATTACTGCTTTCAAAACACCATTACTGCTAGCCACAGATCTGGGGAGACTTTTTGCTACTGCTGCACTCACAGCTGCATCAAAACCCTAAAACTTGATGCTACAGCTTCTGAATATTCTCACTTCACTTGACAGAAGAGTTGTTGCCTGTTTATTGATTCCTCAGGAAGCTCTCTGCCATGTAAAATTAAAACAGATAGGCCCATTTAAACAAAGAAAATGGTACAGGATGCAACAAAATAATTTATTTTAGAAGAATTATTTTATAAGAAATCTCTATAACTTCTGCAAACACATAAGTGCTAAGCTACAAGTATCACTGCTTTTCCTCCACTTTTTCCTTCCACCCATTTGTTTAAGAAAGATAGGCAATATTACAGGCAGTATAATTTTATGAAGAAAAAGGATTTGCAGCAAATTTGTCAAGATGAAATTTTGTATATTCATTGCTGCAGTTTCCAGTTAATGAAGTCTCATCTCAAATATTTATGATTCACTTTACAGCCACTGTGGGTATACTCAAGGAATATACCCAGAGAAACATATATTAGCCAGATTTCTTCTGACAAATTCAGTGAATGTCCAAATCTCAGTTTGGTCTGAGAAATGTCATTTTAACTGGAGCAGCAATTCCAGTTGTGTGGTAAATTCTCTGGAAACTAACTTTTATAAAAATCTGAGGAAACAGCCAAGGACAGAAGTAGACCCTGTACACCTTATCAAATAGCATGATCCTCCACCACTCCAGTGTGGCTATATGCTCCTACTACACCTTTGCAGGCACCGTCAGTTCCTTTCCCCTCAGCAAGAAAACAGTATTTTCTCACACCTGTGAGCCACATGGCTGGGGAGCAGAGGGAGAAGATGGTAATATGCTGCAGTGAACATCTATGCCCTTGAAAAGCTTCCTAGGGAGGGTATGAAGCCTACATGCCATTCCCCAGGCTGCAGTGCATCACCACAGCTAGCTTTTCAGCCTACACCAGATGCAACCCATCACTAAATTACGCTAGAGAGCTGTAAATGAGTGAGGGAGAAGTCTGTAAGGTTGTGAGAGACAGAAACCAACTGAGTGAGTCTCACTCTCACTGAGTGAGATGTGATAAATCTGTCTTCTCCCATCTGACTGTGGGAACAGATGGCCTAACAACATGATTAAACAAAACAACCATCTGTTGCAGCAGATTTCTTTAAAAAAAACAAAACAAAACAAAAACCAGCTTAAAGAGTTAAAAACAGTATTCTGACAACAATAATTAAATAATTAGGAGGCCACATCATTAGCAGGAAAAAAAAAATCAAAGATGCAATTGATGACTAAGTTGTAACAAATGGCCTTATCAGTGAACATACTCCTCCTTCACATAAATTAAGAGAAATCATACAGCTACTCACATATTTAAGTATATTTTGCTGGATCGGGGTCTTAACAGAGATTCTTTGAGTTTTTCATGATTCACTGTACTGCATACCTACAAAGTTATGACTCATTTCACCCCTGCAATGAATGACCACACTGTTTTAATTTTCATAACTTCTGAAAGCAAAAATAATAAAAAATAGTTCATCCCTGCACTTCTGTCAACAGCTATTCTCATTTCAGCTTCATAGTTTCTGTGAAATAAGATTCTAATACTGAAACACTAAAAAGCATGTTTCTTACTTTCTAACCCTGAGAGTGTGCCTAGCTCTAGTAAAGACTGAAGGAGCTGTTTTACTGGATTAAGATTTACACCTATTACACCTATTTAATTCTTTCCTAAAAGCCTGTTTCTTCACAATTCTCCCTGAAATTGTATGTGACAGTAATTTTTTTTAAATCAGATCCACATATTAAGAGAATTCTGAATGACAGTCAGCTCACAGTCCCTCATTACATACTATTCATAGATCAAACTTTCCAATATTTGCAAGAAAAAGGATTTTCATGACAACTACATTCTTTCCCCCGATTTATGTCCAAGGTAACTTGAAAGTAAGAGAACATAAGCCCTTTGAGAAAAGGATAGCAATTATATACATACTTATATATACACACACACATGCCAAAAAGGGATAGAAGAACAAGATAAAAGTTGGTCTCAGAGGATGTATGCTATTAGGAGGTTGTTACAAAAATAACCTAAAAGATCTGTTTAGATTTTCACCTGCTCTGAATCTACATTAAAAAAAAATTGTCAAAAATAAGAAAAATTACCACATGGTAAATGAAGCATTTAATAAAGAATATTCTTCAAAGAGCAATGACAAAGTTGTTTTCTACTCCCCACTTTTGTCCATTTCTCTTTATTTTCTCTCTGCTTCAAATTTTTAGATCTTGCATACTGAAAACTTGGGAAGGTAAAAAAAAATAATGGAAATGGCTCCTAGGAGCCAAGACTTTATGTAAAACATAAAATGATCTCTACCATAATCTTATTTAATAAAAATCCTTTAAGTATGGATAAAAATACGTCCATGTAAAAATAAATTTACATATCTGTGCAAACTATAAATCTCAACATATATAAAAGGCTCATCCTTGACTCATCTCTTAATATAGTCACTTTCCTGATCATCTACAACGTTCTCTATCTAAAACCAGAGAAGTTACACTGTATTGTGGAACTTGCACAGCCACAACTACAGGTCAGCTGTAGTGTTACTATCATGGAATCACTGACTTTCTTTTCTTTCTTTTTTCCTTTTTTTTTTTTTTTTTTTGAAACTGTGCAAAAGAATAATAAGAGATAAAAATTAAGGAATAATATTTAGATTGTTTTCTCCTAAGGAAGGTTGTCAAAAGAGCTCCTTCTAAAGATCTCATACAAAATAAGGGTTTCAGTTGTATAAAAACTTCTATTTATTGTTTTCTGAGAAATAACATCAAGAAAATAAATAACTGGAAGACCGTTATTTGGATTATTTGCCTCAGTGGATCTATTGTTCAGATGTTTCATTATTCTCTTCTTCTCATCTAGACAGAATTTCCCATGATTCAGTACAACCAGAGACTCTTCTGCAGGCACACTTGGGTTGTTATAAGGAATTATACTCCCAAAGGAAGACTGATAAGAAAATTATAATGTCTGTAAGGCCCTATAGCAATTATTCACAAATCAATTTTTCATTATTATTCATCAATTATTCATTATTTTCATTATTTCAGCACACATTTTTGGTTTTCAGAAATATGTCAAAAGTTAAAAGAGTTTTTACTCAAAAAAAAGCATTTTTGTAACATCTTAACTCAATTTCACTATACTTAAATTCACAGTAGAAAGTTGTAAGGCACGCCAGTTATGCAGTCATATATAAGGCTATGTTTCTACAAATACATTGGCACTGTAGTGCTACCAAATTGCAATATTTTAGAGTTGTTATTATTTTCCTTAGTACTTTAGCTGCTTCACCTATACCATTTTAAAGACTCTGGGTTTTGTTAAAAATAGATTCAAGCTCATGTGTGTAGAAAAAAAAAACCCTTGAAAAATTAATTATGAACATTTAAAAATCCAGGAGTTACAGAGTATTTGTTGCCTCAAAACTCACTCCCTTTAAGAACATTTCTTTCAAGAACCCTGACAAATAGTTTCTAAATTTCCATTTGGTAATACTGAAATTTACTATTCATCTCTGGAGTAGAAACTCTAAAATTCAAAGAAAGCTACTATGCAGTCCCTGAATCTCCTTGCTCGACTATATAAATACTAGATGGCTTTGTGAAATTCTTTAAAAAGGAACAGTTCGTTAACACTGTAACATGTGACATGCTTGCCCTCTTAAATCTATAGAGGCTGTCAATTTCTGCTGCAATGTGACCTTTACAGCAGATTAGGCAGCACCATGTCATGCAGATTTTGTTATATTCAAACTAAGAGTTTGGAAAAATTGGGCTGCTGACAGGGGTGGATGTATTTGTCAAAACCTTCCAGATTCAAAATAATTTTTTTAAAGAAAAAAGTCACCCTTTAAACCTCCTTTTTATAATCTTATGTTGTGAAAAGCAATGAAGAGAAGCCACTGCTAATTTCTCTGTACTGATAGCTTCAAACATTTAAGCATTTAAAGGTACATCAAAAGTGACTATTCAAAGCCGTGATTCTGAATGGTCAAGGACCTGGACCCTAAAACTATTTCAGGACTTCACACGCCAATAATTTTTTTTCTACAAGTTGGAGTGTTTTAAAGTTGAGGTTTTGTTTGCTTGAGTGTTTTTTTTTTCAAATAGGTTTCCCATTTCAACATTAGAATTATGCTTGGCAATACTTGCAAACGCAAAGAAATACAAATAGTCTTATCCTGGATGCTATGTGAAGGACCCTCAAATATTCAATGCTAGATAGTATAGAAAAGAAGAGACCATCTTAGAATGGGAAATAAAAAGCTAACAACAACAAAGGCTAGAGCAAAAAAGGTAAGGAGAACATACGGATCCAGAATAAACTACAGCCGAGCATAAGGTTTTGCAGCAATTTAATTTTTTTGTTGTTCTTTCTATTTTCATGTCATCTTGTTTCAAAGAAAAGGTTCATTGCAACAAAATTTTCAGTAGCTGAAAGAGCTTCTGTTCCACTTTTAATAGCCATTTAGCAATAACCTGCAGAATATGGGGAATATTTGCTCAAACTATGACTAAAAGAGATTATAACGGTTTTTTAGGAAGATACACTGACATTCTACTTCTGGCATATCTAGGGTACAGCCCTACCTTGCAATTTCTTCAACACAGCTACTTCCATTTTCAGCACTTGCTTTGGCTGCTGAGCAGATTCGACCTTCAGTGCAACGTTTTCCCGAGTAAGCAAGTCCAGCGCATCGTAAATTTCTCCAAATCCTCCACCTCCTATTTTCCTCAACTATATTGGGGAAAAAAAAGAAAGAACAAAAACAGATTTCAAAGAGGGGAGAAGAAAAGAAAGGAAACAAAACATCAATACTTCTTTGTACTGCCTGCCATACTGCAAACACTGTTGTATGCTAATAGATTTTAAAATAACATAATCATATCCTTCAGTATGTAAAGGAGCTACTGAATAATCTACAGAGGTATGGTTAGCCACAGTTTGGAAGAGAATCCCAGGAAAACAAGTTAATACACCTGATCTCCTCCATCTGCACTAAACTTCTTGTATTTAATACAATAGAATAGTGCACTAGCATTCCCAGCATGAATAGTCTTTCCTCAAATACTCACATACTACCCAGAGACCTTCAAATACAAATGCACAGTGAAATCTTTAAAATATGCCATCCTTTTTTCAGAAATATGTGCACTGAATACTAAAGGTATAAAAGTTCTTGAACTCACTGAAGAGAGACAGTATTTTCCATTATATGCAGTGACTTACACATAACAGCTAAATCATAAGTTATAAGAAATGGCTACAATTATCTTTGAATATATATTTTCAATGTTACTCACATTTACCTATGGTTCACCAATATCATTCTTATTAACAGACATACTAAAGAAACTTGTATTGAAAGTTTTAGCTGTTAGGAAGAGGAAAAAAAAGAATGTTTCTGGAATATTAATTAGTTTGCACTACATTCAGAGCAAATATTAACAGTTGTGTTTTCACTCTGCTTTAAGTGTTCACAGGGAACAGTGACCTGTCTGATTTTCAGTATCAAAAATGTCAATGTTAATTCATGCAATGCTTCGATACAGTGATCTCCCCTGTAGCTACCATTCTAAAGCTGATAAAAGAGGACACAAAAAGAAAGTACCCTAAGAAACAAAAAATATTGTAATTTTACTATATTTTACTTTGAAAGAAGTGATACGGTTTTCTAAATGTCATTTGAAAACATACAGTTGCTAAGGTTGTATGACTACACTGTATTAAATGTCATCTGAATATTCCGGGGATCTAGAGATCAGCAATATGCTGACCTATCTTCAGATTCTGAAAATAAATCTGATGTGCCCTGATCCAGACAACCAGCCATCTGACTGAGAAGGAAAACTAGTTTTTAAAATAGCCTAGGTCCCTAAGAATAAGGGAGAAGGTAACAGATAAAATACTCATATTGTTTACTTGCATTTTTCAAGTCATATGGCATGAATTTTTTATTCTGTATGACTACAACAATACTCAGTGTTTCATCACGCACCTTCTGTACTGAAGATCTTTTACCATTGCAAGCAACCGCTATTTCAATATTCTTAAGATGAGGAAACCATGGTCCAAGAAACATGGCATTATCTACATTACTCACTCCTGGCTAATTCATTGCCAGTTTTAAGAAGGTGCATAGGCAGCACACCACATTTTCAGACATACAGAACTAAACCACCTAAATATCTGCTTCTAGTGCAACACCTGTTGACTGCAAATTCGCATGTTCATTTCTTTCCAACGAGCACAGTAGCTGTCAGCAAATGCAACCTCCTCTTCTCCACAGGCTGTACACCTTCTCTGAAGCAGTGTAACATCCACATTACCAACACAGGCTTAAGCCTGTTACTCTTTAACCTACACATTTCAAGAACTTAACAAGTTCAAGTACAGAGTATCACAAATCCTGAATAGGAAGTTTGTGTCTTCAGATATCACTTGTTTAAGGTACTACTCAGGTAAGAATCTGACAGGGTACACTCTGACATAATGACAAACAGTGCAAAACAGAACTCTTTCAGGTCCCATGAAATACTCAATATAACTTGGTTATGTTCAGATGTATTTAATATATGCAGAGTGTTAGTCCTTACAGAAAGAAAAAAGATATCACAGAATCACATATGGGTTTTTTTTAAAAAAAAGAAAAAAAGTATGTGTGTATTTACATCTCTTGAAGATACAGATTCATGACTAATTTGGCCATTTTAAGTCTGCACTTTTCTGTTCCACCTCTTGGTCTGATAATGCCATTATCTTGCCTAAGCTCTGAGCTATTAACTGGGCTCTAACAGTCAAACACAGACATTGATCTGACTGTAGTTTTCAGCATAAGCATGTAAGTTTTCAGCACAGTACACACACAATGCAGACAGTGAGAATGCATGGTGAAAAGGTGAGAGGGGAAAAGGAAAGAGGTGACACAGCCATCCTCACCCCTCTCAGGGCAGTTTATCATGTAACTTCATTTACCAGCTTTGAGAAATGGCCAGACTGAGAAAGACTGCCTCTGAAAGGGTTTTTCTTCTGCTTGTGTGCTTAAAAAAAAAAAAGTAAAAAACACACAAAACAAAACCAAACACACCAATACATTAATAAAATAAACAGATCAATTTCTACCCTCCGATAAAGTAGACCAGAATCATTAACATACATCCAATAATGACGTCAGTCATTAATTCCAGGCACAAATGAACCTCTCTGACTGTAGAAAATATTTTCCAAGCCCTTTGTCACTGGGTCATGCACCACACTCAGCAATGAGCCTATGTTTTCCTTGGTTTTCTTTTTGCTGCCAATGTCCCTGTAAGGCCTTTCTCATTGCTTTTCACATCCCTCACCAGCTGAGCTCTAGCTTTCCTATATATTCATCCCAACACACAGAGGCAACGTCTCCACATTAATCTTGGGCAGCCCATCCCTGTTTCCACCTTGTGTTCACTTGAGTTTTGCTTTTGAGTTCAGACAGGAATTGACTGTTCAACCATACTGGCCTCCTGCCACATCTGCTCAACATCTTTTACCTTGACAAGGACCATCTTCACACCCATACCTCATTCTCCCATTTTGTATATTACTTTCGAGCTTCTCTTTTTTGCAGTCAGCATCTCACACCCCAAACTTATTCCCTCTGTTCTCTCCTCAACTCCTATTGCTTTGCTTCAAGTCTAAAGCATACAATCGCCAATACATTGGTACTTTCACTTACACTGCATATTGAACAGCGTTCTTAAACCTACCTAAAACCAACTGTCATTACAATCAAATCTCTCCAAGTCAGGACTGTAACAAATGTTTCAAAGGCAAAAAAGCCGGATGAGAAAAGGCATCAACAGAGGATAAAATCAAACTCTAATAGAGACAGAGACCAGCAGGGAGGGAGGGTGTCACTGAGGAAAAAATACTTTACAATGTGTTTTCTGTGCTTGCTTTTCAAAATAGGATCACCCTAAAGAATGTCTAGATTAAAAACAAATCTAATTGAGCAGTTTTTTAAAATGTTCGTGTCCACCAATCCCAGGTATGTTTTACATCTTTCTACACATGGAATTTTTAAGTACTCTACTGCTTCATGAACACTAGCAGAAAACTTCAATACTTCATAACCTAACAGAACAATATTAATTATGTTAATATATATGTGTAAAACACTAAGGAATTTCTAAAATTTGAATGTTATTTTCTTCCACTGCCAGACTGTCCCGTGAAATCCTGAATTCAGAAAGAAGTATATTGCCTTAGATGCCATCAAGAAATCCTTAATGTTTGCTACAGAAATCAAGAAATTGAAGATTTACCCCCAGACAATATTTGGTACTCATCTACCTGTAATGCTTGATTTGGAAAACACACAAGTTAAAATGTATAATCACGTGAGATATACAACAGCCTGCTCTTAGAATTTTCCAAAAGACACCAACTTGATCATCAGTCTTCATGAACAGGAAAGAAAATAAGCCTGAAGAGAACAAGGCTACTGTTGCACATATCAGACAACTGAGTAGTTTTGCAGAGAGTGATATGTTAGTGAACTGTTATCTATTTATAATGCTATTTTATTCTATTTGATCTGATTCAAGACTATGGTTTCAGTTTTTACTTCACTGTAATATTGAGATGCAATGTAAGAAGGTATTTTACAAATACTTACACCAAAGATATCCATTTAGATTCTATTTACACAAAAGGAAATACAAAGGTTTCCAAAACAGAGCTGGCATCAGCTTCTTGCATTTTTAAATGAAGGATAGGGCACAAGACAGTTGAAATTATTTTCTCTAAAACAATTTTAAATGAATGATGAATATGTATCTTCCATGTTCAGTCTTGCAGTTTTAAATAAAATATTGAAATATGGGAGTAATGTAAAGCAAAGATGGTGCAAAAAATAGTGATTCAGTATCCATTCACAGCCTACTAAACACAGAGATACCCAAAACATTCTATTATGAAGTGGTGGGTTTTTTCTTTTTTTTTTTTTCCCCCTCCTTTTTTAAAAAAAAATCTTTTAAAAATCCACAAACAAGAAAAAAAAACCTGAAGTGATCAGGGGAATGGAGAAGGAACTATGAGAACCCCAGCAAAAATAGTTTCAAATGGATATTATTTCCCTCTAGATGTAAATCAAGGATATGAATACCAAAAGGCAATAGAGCTATTTATGGCAAAGCCAATACTAGCATATGATCAAATGGATATATATCAGCCAGGAATAAATCTATGCTCCAAAATAAAGCAAACAAAAATAATTTCTATTTGGAAGAGCAGCAAGGTCCTGAAAGATCTTCCAATAAGAAGTAACAAAGCTCACAAACTGACTAGTTCCAGGAGAGCGCCTGACTGATTTCCAAAACAGACTGATATAATCACTGGCCGATTGGATTCAATATACTAACAGGACTCTTCCAGTTGTGCTCCGAAAAGGCTCTAACTCAGGATTTAAAAGCTTCCGTAGGTCCTTACCAGAAAAAAAAAAAAAAAACGCACCCTATAACTTCTTTTTAAAGTAGTGTATGAGAAACAAGTGGTTCTAAAGTCCTTTCACCATTTAACGTTAAGTATTAAGCAAAATATATCTCACAAGAATTCCGAAACAGATTTCAACGTGCAAACTACTTCTTTTTAAAAACACATTTTAGAGAAGAAAAAGAATTGCAGGAAGGCATACTCACCACCTTCCATCTTTCTTTGACCACGATTCCCACACTGAGGATGTCAGGCTGCTCCCCTCCTCCACTCATTGCAACCTCCTGACACGACGGAGCTGCTATGCAAAGGCTATGTCAGTAGAAACCATCCAGGTCCCAGGAGTGGCTTCCATTGAACCAGTGACTGCAGAAACAGAGCAGAACATGGCATCTCAACAATCTACAGAATAACATGAAATACAGAAAAAGTTCTGTTTCTCACCTAGCACCTTAAGTAGTCTTTGTATCCCATAGTGGCTTATGTTGGAATTCTAGCCAAACAACTCCCAGTACAGAAAGAAATTCAAGTATATTCTTCCTTATTTTTTAACCTGCTCTCTTTCAAAGCCCCAAGCCCAATCTCAAAACAGTACTAATGAATATAAACATTTTCAGAGTTATAGACTGCAGGCAGTTTCAAATTGCTGTAAATCGTAATTGCATTTAAATTTAATTTTAATAACAACTTTTAAAATCTAATTAATAACCAATTATTTAGTAAGTTAAGTAATTAACAGTAATATACAACAACAAGCTTAAAGTAATATTAACCAAAAAATTACAAATTTAAAAATACTTAAACTGGAATTGTAATTTAATTTATTGCACTGCATACAGACTATTCCACATTTTACAATGTGCTTCACATAGCTAAGATTACTTATGACTAAATATGTCTAAAGTACAACTTTGTTGGTTTATGTCAGGGTACAAATAGCTAAAGTGAAAAAAACTTGTCCTGGGTAATGCCATCAGATTAATTTTTTAATTTTCTGGCTGTAGGGAATCACCTCTAAATCAAATTTCATATGTAATACAAAAATTTGTCTTTTGAAGATTAATGCATCCAGAATGGCTCCCACCAGTAACTACTACAACTAACTAGAAACTTACATCAATTGTTTGAAGCTTTTCTAGAATTGTGTTCATGTGTTACACTGGTATAATTAATTATACCAGTGTAACTCTTTGTACAAACTCTCTTATCCAATGATAAGACTCTTCAAAAGTGTATTTGCTTTGGTTTAATTTCTATCACTTCCAAAATAGCATCAACTAAAAGTGAATTATTTTTTTCTCCCTGAATCAACACAGAAATGGTATGCAAAATTGGCACAACCATTCTGGTTTAAATTAACAGTAGGCTCGTCCATGTGGATAAATGCCAAATTTACTGCTGTGGCTAAATTATTCTTTTTTTAACCACCTGCTGCTTAAACAACCTGGCTTTTAAGATAGATGTTTGTTTGACATGAGGGTAACTGTGGGGGTTTCTTCATATTCTTTCATACTTATTTTTCATATTTCATTTATGCCTTTCTTGCTTCAATTGTAAATTCTGATATTTAAACCAACTCCAAACAAAACAGACCCCTCTAGAGAACACTTAATCTGGATTAGTTCAAGATCTAAATTTATACCAAATTAGAGTGGATTACATCCCTGTAAAAGAGTGTTCATTCAGAATATGTAGCTTGAATTGGTTTAATTCAAACAAATG